CTTCACCATTTGCAGCCCAAAAAGGGTGGTTTTCAGTGGCAACGTTCTGGACTTTGGGGGGGAATTCTCAGTAGATAGTTTTCATTTTCCTCCATTTTTTAGCAGCTATCAGCTAAATTTTTGTTGTTCTGGGGGCAAATTTTAGCAGCCAATTGGCCATTTTCAGCCATTTAGGGTGGGCTGCTGTTTTCATCTGAAAAATCTGGGGGAAAGGGAGACATTTTTGGTGGCTGTTTTTGGCTGTCATTTTCCCATTTTGAGTAATTTCCACCTGGAAATTCTTCCTTTCATGACCTTTTTTGGATAAATTGCTTCAATTTTCAGCAGTGGGGGGCAGTTTTTGTATGAGAATTTTCAATGTTGAGAGAAAAGTAAAAAATTTCCATTGGACTTTCCAGTGAACTCACTCAAAGTTTTCATGTTTCGTGTTTTAATTTTCCTGGGAGGGAGGGCAATATACTTCAACTGTCTCAAAAACCAGGGGACAAAAACTGTTCCTTACCAGTGAAATTTTGGGGTTCTTGGAAGCCTCTACACAGAGGGACCCCGAAATGATGTACTGGGGAGAAAGCAGAGATGGGTGAAAGCTGCTGCCCACTCTTCCCCCAACAAGTGAAACTGTTCGGGTGTTCTGAGTTGGTGCCTCACTTTCACCTCCATGCATTAGAGATCATGGCAATTCCCTTCCTCACAGGAGGATGAGGATCAATATATTGAGGGAGTGCGGGGATGTCACACATTTTACAAGCTCTTTAAACACCCCAGGGACTTTTTCCATGCCAAGAGCCTTATGTGCCCCCGCCCACCAGGCCAGGAGTGTTCTGACCTCCTTTTTCTTTCCTTTCCCTCCATGCCAGAGGTGGGCACCATGTGCCTCACAGGGACTCAGTTGAAGATGGGGGAAGGGCCCAGGTGCTGCAGGCTGGTGGCCCTGCACAGACACACAGTGCACAGCACACAGCCACCAGAGGACTCACAGACAGGACACGCGAGCACACCCAGCAGGCCAGCAACAGGTCTGGGGTCAAACCCAAGCCCCATGGCACAGCCACTTCACCACCCCTGGCAATGCCCCTTGGCCATGCTACAGGGCACAGTGCTAGCCAGCTAAGCTGCCCTACAGTGAGGGTTTGGAGCCCGAGAACTTCCTCCTTGGTTTTGCACACACATGCCCCAAGCCTCTGCCACCAAGACTTACCAGCATCCCAGTCCACAGGGGGGTCCCCACTTGTATCGCAAATAGGTAGTGGTTATCCGCCAGGATCAGGATGGTACCGAAAGCTACTTGTACAATGCCTGTCAGTATTTGTGTGATCTACCGAGAGACAGTGGGGCAGAACATGTTACTGGTCAGGAGCCGCATCCTGGGGAACTTACTACATGGCAACTCAGACCCTACTACACGGAGTCCCTGTTTGCTAAATAGCTAATCCTTCATGAGAGGATAAATCCTCTAGATGGAGGCTTAGAAGACTTGTGTTCTATTCCCAATTCTGCTTCTTACCTGCTAAGTGACCATGGGCAAATCCCTTACCTTCCTGTGACTCAGTTTCCCCAGGACACCTCATTTGTACAGTACTTTGAGATCCACTGATGATAAGCACTACCTAGGAGCCAGGGATGATAATCAATAGTAAGGACACTGAGACCTACTACACATCAACTCAAGTCAAGATTTCCAGAGATATTTTTAGGCTCTTGCAATGCAGGTAGGTGCATCTTGAGCTTGACAAAAGTGCTGAAGCAAGGCCTAATTCCTGTTCACTTTCCATGAGCTGCAGGGTTTAGTAAGTCCCACAGGTGCCTCTCTACAACTTTGACCACCTAAACACCTTTGTAAAGCTGAGCCTCAGTTCCAATTATGTGGCTAATTAGTTATTACATAATTAAACATTCTTTACGAGATGGCTGCTCAGTCCTTATAACATTGTTACTTAATCCTTACTACAAGGTTAATCACTACCGACCAGATAGTCTTTATTACATGGTCATTTATTCCCTACTAGGTGGTCACTAAGCCCTTCTTCCTTTGTTACTCAGTTCCTACTACTGCTTTATTCACGCTTTATTGCATGGATGCTCAGTCCTTGTTACATGCTTATTCATGCCATTACTAAATTAGTACCCACTTCTTAGTGCATGGCTGCTCTATTCTTACCACCCGATTAGTCATTCCCCACCGGATGGCTAGTTGTTCCTGGTTAAACAGTTCTTCTTACAAGTTGCTTAGACCATCTACACAGTGGGTAAAAGCAAAGGAGGCAGGACGCCCGGATTCTAACTCCAGCTCTAAAGACAGAGGGTGCTCCGAGGGGCTGGCCCTGTGCATTTTGACCCCACTTCTCCCCCAAACCTCTGCCTCACTCTGTGCCTCAGCTTCCCACCATAGTACAAACCCGCTAGATCAAACTAAAAGGGCACCCACATCGGGACAGGTCCTCCTGCTCCTCGCGAGGAGTGAGGGAATACGCTGGGAGCAACTGCACCCTCACCCTAACCACACTTCTACAGCCATAGCCCTGAACCACACAAGATAGCCTGTGACCACAGACGGGGCTCAAGCCCTTAAAAACTCTAACATTTTCCACCTAAGCGGCCAATTCCTATTAATGGCCCAACCAGCAGAGGGAACCAGAGAAGGCCATTACAGCCTCCTCACGGCATGCCAGCCCCTGGCAGTGCTGGACTCACCCCCAGAGCCAGCGGCTCCCCCTGGAAGAACTTCCGCAGGGGCCGGGGTGGGGCAGAGGAGGCTGACGAAGGATGTTGGGGTATGATCTGCGTCAGCACGACAACTCCAGCAGACCCTGCCTCCATGGGGGCAGCAGGCGGCTAGTCCCAGCGTGTGTGGACAGCACAGGCAAGGGCCGTCCCAGCAACTAAAGGAGCAACAGGAAAAGAGAAAAGGGACAGAAAGAAGCGACTCAGAGTGAGAATAACTGGGAGCCACGACTTCTGGCTCTCGGGGAGGGCAGTGGTTAGAGT